AAAAGTAAATGCAGAAAGGGCTTTACAAAAAGATCTGAACATAATTATCATTTGGTTACAAAAGTGAGACATCCATCAATATAACTATAGAATTTTAATAATCAGAGTCCATTAGTCTCAAAAATCCTTTTCACATGATAATGTCTTTCTTACTATCTGTACCATTAATCCAAACACTCAGTGTTTGATCAGTTGGAACCCTCAGGCAATAATTTAGTTATCTACAGAACTATGACTTTAAAAGCTCAATAATATTCCTACTAATTAACGATGTATCAGAACTTCCAGGAGTTATTTGCATATATAATATATTTTCCTCCAACTTTCAGTTTCAAGATCACTAAAGTGCTAATTTGCATAACAGAACTGAGAGAGCTATAAAGTGATAGACTGATGAAGAATGATGTCTTGGACAGAAAGCTGAACTGTGTTAAGCACTTAGCCTGCAGGGCTACTACTTCCTCATTATGCATCAGACATCTTCCATCATTACGACTATAAATCAATTAAACAGTCCTAACCATTCTCAAAATACCATAAGAAACAATTTTACTGTAACCAAACAGGCTTTAATAATTGCTTTGCAAATTTATCATTTGTATTTCATGAATTTCCATATCCCATAAAATAGCCCTGCTGCTGTTCAGACCCAAAACATAATCTACTTGGTGGACAATCTGTTCATTAACTTTTAAAAACATAAACCAGGATGTTTTACTTTTGTTTCCTCCAAGAAACTGCTACCTCATACACTTGAAGCAAAACGTAAAATGAATGCATCTTGCCTACAATTTCATAACTAAACTCAATTATGTTCTCAAAAGATATGACGTCCTATCAAGTACTCATTACACAAGCAGAGAACACAATATCAAACAATCATAGGATGAGGTGTTCCTTACCACACACATGAACCAGCGGCGAAGCACTAAAACGCACAGCTATGACAGAGTCATTATTCACTGTGCTCATTAATCTAGTGTTTAAGCTTTAATCAAATAATCAACATTAATTGTTTAATCAATCATTTGATTTATAAAGCCATGCAATATAACATTCTCAATTCTCGGTCTATTTTAAAAGACATCTAATATAATTCTAATTTGCATTTATAATGTTTCCCAACAGAAATAGCCAAATTATTTTATTTATTACACTTTTCAAATTGCAACAACATAATTGCATAGGAGGCACACATAAAATTCTTTGCAATCAGTCAAAGTACAGAACAAAATGGACTAAAATGAGCTAATACATCATGAAGCAAGTGCTCCTGAAGCTTTTAGCAGCAGCGCACGTTAGATAAGAGTAAAGTGGATCAGCAGAATTGTATGGCAGCATTATATTTATATGCAAAATACATGCAAAAAAGGTGAGCAATTTTCTTGTCGCAGATGATAAAAACAAGGACAGTGAGAAAAAAAATGAAATAGTAATGGCAGCAAAAAGCAACTATGGTTTAAAACCCATCAGCTCAAGAATTAGTTCAAGCTTGTTTTTCTTTACTTTGTGTACATATATTAAACATAAAAATGCCCTATGGTTAGTTGTTCCAACAGAAAATAATAATAGAATTGAATGGCATGTTTTTTTTAAAAATATTTTGATTAAGTACTGTTTTCCAAACGAAAATCTCACAGTAAAATAAACTGTGCTCATTGTCAAAATAATCTATTTTGCATAATTTTTTTTAATAAAATTTTTGCTCTACTACCTTATTGTGCAAGAATGGAAAATGAATGACAATATTGATGTCAGGACTCGGAAATAGAGACAGAATTTGCGTCATGACAAACCAAGGTGGAGTCCTGTAGCTCAGTGGTTAGAGCACTCGCTTTGCAAGTGAGAGACCTGAGTTCATTTCCAGGCAGGTCAGGGCGAAACCTTGGGCAAGTTTCCTTACTCCACACGCCTAATAATAATCCCTCCAAAACCCAAAACAATAATAAATTGATCGTTTTAAATCTACAACTGTTTGTGGACATTGCTGTGCGCAATTGGCTGCCGCGTTCGCCCACAAATATACAGTCAATTCACTTTACAGTGTGTTCTGTGAAGCGCTTTGGGACGTCCTCCCAACGTGAAAAGCGCTATATCAAATGCAAGGATTATTATTATTATTATTAAGGGAACTGCGCATTCTTTTATAAACATACAATCACTTCACTTTACAGTGAATTCTGTGAAGCGCTTTGAGATATCTTTCTGATGTAAAAGGTACCTCATCAAATCATTGCAAGAGCAGAACAAAAAGATTGATGAAAGTTAGCAAAGAATGCCCTTGAATACTTAGATTTACCCATTTTGTTCCTGATTTAAAACTGTTGCCCTCCACAGGAAAATATTGCCTGTTCCCTCCCCAGAAACCCAGCAGCACAAAAGTGATACCCTGTGGTGCACTTTTCCCTTTTAGTGTTCCCCAGTTCTGTTCCTTACAATGCACTTTTTCAGTAATTTTTTAGATAGAGCTTATCACAAGAACATAAGAAATTATGGACAAGAGAGAAGACCATTAGGCAACTGAGGCCTGTATGTGCATAGTGCATGGGAGTGATGGGAGCAGAACCCAACGACCTGGACATTTTTTAGTATGTAAAACAACTAGTTAGACAGAAGCCTGCTGTACCTACTGATTAGTGCGGGTTCACTTATCCATGCTACAGGTGAGGCAGACCTCTGCTGAAGGGCACGATAACCTCTGTACCTCTGTGACAGTCCTTTCAAATATCACTAAATTAAGAATATAATTACCCTGTAAGGCATTAAAAAGCAGCCATATTAATTCTTTCTGTAAATAATATTCCACTTCATTTTTGGTGTCATAGTACATGATTTTTTTTAATATCATGATCTAGTAATAACATATTTGTGATTTATATCTGCCTCACAGCACTTGGTCCCTAGAGCAGTAAAATTGTAACAGGAACTGATTTTTTATGCCCTTGAAAATGTAGTTAGTATAGATTGTATGAGATCACAGATGTTGTAGAGGACGTTCAAGGTTGTAAACTAAATTTGGGGTTCTGCTCAGGTTCATAAACTGCTCCCGCGAGCCAGAACACCATCAGAATCCCTCAATAAACTCAGCCTTACAACTCCCTTGGAAGGAATTCTGGATTCATCGTCTTTTATTGTTTTCTGTTCTCACAAAATATGAAACTACTTCAAGGAAAGGTCAATTCCTCACCTTTATATTTAGTCGCCACCATTCTTCAAATAAATATTTAGCTCCATAAAATAAGATAAGCTACGATGCAAAGAAACACTGAAAAAAATCTTGGCCGGGCGTAACAAAAATTCAATTCCCACATCTGTACTATTCCAGTTCCAACCTCACAGAAAGCATCCTATGGAGTATGGAGTATTGTTCACAAGATAACAAGAGAAGTATGGATGAAGGCAATCCGTTTCCCCCATTTCAACGCATCTTCCTAGACCAGTGGCGGCCAACCTTTATCCTTGACCTTGTTCGGCCAACAAATTTAATTTTCTTGATATAATATTTCTCATTTTGTGCCATAAATCAAGAAAATTCAATCAAGAAAACCTGGACAAGTACAAATATTGGGGGGCCAATTCTTGACGGCACCGTGGGTCACTTCTGGCCAGCGGGCAATGGGTTGGCCACCACTGTTCTAGACTTACATTCTTCCCATTGTAACATCAAACGGTTTCTTAAATGCTAGTTTTCTGGTCTCTAACACCTTTCCTGGAAATCTGTACCCTGCTGGTGATTATCCTTAATGTAAAGAACTAATTCCTGGTGTGTGTTCAATTCAATCTTCCTGATATCCTTCAATGTTACTTGACATGTTATTTGACATGTACTCTAGAATTTTAGGGGGATAAGAATTAATGAAAGGAAGGGGTCACTTTTATTGAGAGTCTGAAGAAAGTACATCTTTGAATCTCTTGCGCCACTTTTTATTTTTCAGTCTCTGAATTTTAGTTCTACTCTTCAGCTATATAATAGCCTGCTTACATTTACATCAAATTGGTCTTGCGTCATTTGATCATCTCTCTGCTTCATCTCTTCCCCTCCACCACATAAAAATAAGCTGTTTTGTTAAAATCTGCTCAGTTCCACGCCCCTGATTTATTCCTGTTGCTTGTCTCAGAGCACGCTCCAGCGCTTCAATTTCCTTTTAAAGGTAGGATGGCTCAAACTACATGTAATTTCCAAGCATGCTCTCAACAGTGATCTATACTAGGTTAGATTAACTTATTTTGACTGTAGTCAGATGCCCTTGGGATGTAACCTAGTATTTGACTGGAATTTATCAGCAGGTGACACTGGCCAGAGGGCGGAGAGAATTGACCAGGACAAGTAGACAAGCTACTTAAAAGTGAAGCTGTTGAGAAAATGGCACTGGTTGCTACTAAATCCTATCCCACATCAAAATATTTAATTTTACTGTGAATTCTGAAAAATAACAGGTCTATATCAAGAACTGTGTCTTGCAAACACACTATGTTACATTGTAGAAAAAAAAGAATATTTTTCTTTTCATCATTGACAATATATACTACAGTCCCTCAAGACCAAAAACACTTTACAGCACAGAAAAAAAAGCAGAATATCTTTGTTCTCAATGTTAGACAGTAGCCAAGCCTTTTTGCAAGTATAGAAAGTAAAGAAATAAGGGTACAGTTCTCAATGAGGCTTTAAATACAACAAAGGGAGTTCATCTGCCCATGATGGTAGTGAAAGGAAATACAATTCTTAAAAGCAGTGATTTTCTGTGTGGATGATAGTAAATTCTAATTGCATGTGAAGTGTGGAATGCTGTTGTGATAAAGAATGAAAATTCACAATTGACTTGTTTATGGGTATCAAATATACTTTGCTTTCACCATTAAAAACCCATACTCCATTTACATTATTTACATTTCAAATACTGTATGTTTCATTCAATAATTAGTTTACATTGTGGTGAAATATTCTGAAAACAGACTTGAACAAAATGTTTCACAAGATATCTACCATCGTGAATTAATACCTGGTTCACTTTTATAAGCTCAGTTGTTTCTCCAGCACTCTGTCCTTGTGCTCCCTGATTCTGGAGGAGGTTCCTTACAGTCTCTTCCATCCTGAAACAAAACAAGGAATTAGTTAAGATCAACTCAGTTGGTTATAATAATAATAATAATCCTTGCATTTGATATAGCGCTTTTCACATCTTCTAGACGTCTCAAAGTGCTTTACAGAATAAAAGTAAAGTGAATTGACTGTATATTTGTGGGTGAAACTCAATAACATGGTTATAGTGTCAACATGGCTGGAGATTTGCATTCCAGTGTCAATCTGGAGAAACAGCACCACGATGTGTCTACCCACTGTACTTTCTGTAAAACCCTCAAATATAAGGGTCGGTTTCAACCTAACAGCTCACATCAACACAACAAGAATGTGATCTGGTCAACTTAGCTACTGACATGAAACTGCCCCCCCTGAGGAGTAGCGCATATGTGTCAAAACATAAGATGAACTTTTGCATGATGTAATGAGGTTGGTCGGACATGGAGAGTCATCCTCAGTATTATCCAAAACATACCATGTCAGAACACACTAGTCTTGGGTAGCTGTACAAATGCAGTGATACTTAAAAAAACAAAAAAATGTAAACTCATTCTTCCATGCTTTTAAATATAATCTGTATATTGCATATGAACAGTTTGAACAACAACAATATTGCATGGATGTGGGGTAGAAAGGATACTGGGGGTCAAACAAGATGCCAAGGTTCCAGACTGGCTTAGTGAGGTGGAGTGCACCATCATGGATGGTGATACTGTCAGTGCCTGAGATGAGGAGGAGCTGACGGGAGCCAATCAGAAGAGCGTCGGTCTTGTTGGGGTTCAACTGAAGAAAGTTAGCTCTCATCCAGGACTTGATGTCTGACAGATATTCTGTCAGCACAGCAGTGGTCCTGGAGTCAAGCGTGGAGGCAGAGAGGTAGAGTTGGGTGTCATCCGCATATATGTAGAACTTGACCCCATGTTTGCAGATGATGTCACCAAGAGGGAGCATATCGATATTGAAGAGGAGAGGACCAAGGACAGAGCCCCGAGGAACGCCGCACAAGAGGTGCGGGGGCTAGAGGATGGATAAACCGTTTGTGGAGATGAAGCGCAGGTGCTGTGAGCGGTATGATCTGAACCAGTCAAGGACAGAGCCGAGAAGGTTGAGGTGAGAGGAGAGGCAGTGGATGAGGTTAGAGTGGTCGACGTCATTGAAAGCAGCAGAGAGGTCAAGGAGAGAACGAGGAGACAGAGGGAGCCCTGGTTGCAGATGGACAGAATATCATTTGTCACTTTGACCAGAGCTGTTTTTGTGGGTGGCACGGAAACCCGATTGGAGGTGTTCGAGAAGGGAGTCGCAAGAGAGGAAGGAGGAAAGCTGCGCTTATAGTTTTAATAAAACAATCGTATACGTTTAATAAAAGTATAAGCACTTCTAATAATGATTTCTGTCTCAAAAGAATTATAACCATTTTTCTAAGTACAGATGTGTACCGTATGCAAAGATGCAGAGGCACAGAATTAGATGCTCAGTGACATTTCACTTGGTTTTATGGTGAACAGGATTAACTAGTCATCCATTTTTCTTACAATTTTCCAGTTGATGTGGAAGCATTTTATTACTAACAGAGCATAATGTGAATAGCTGCACCATCTGTTGGCCAAATGTGAATAAGCATAAACCACATCTAATCTACACTTCAGACAGTAGTCTGACAGATAGCAGCAACTTCTGCTCAGATTCTAACTTTAATTAACTCCACAATACACCACGAACATCTACGCATTCCACAAAGATACGGCATGGTTTGGAACTTTGAGAAATGAGTCTGAATTAAAAACTAAAACACAATGACAGCGTTAGAGATCCTAAACTCGAAATAGCCTTAGCTTTGGTGGGATGATATAGTGCATGAAGCCCATTTTTCTAAGAATAATACGATTGTTAAAACCCTGTAAAATATTAAACATTTAGCAGTCCAGTTCAAAAGAATATAGCAGAAAACAACGAATTGAAACAGCAGAAGGACAATAACATTATTGATGCCATGTTTAGATTGCACATTTTTGCAGTGATTTTTCTGGAACTATGCAATGTAAACATGGTCTTAATGCGAATTGTGGAGAAGCGTTGCTCCTGGCATCATCTGGACTAGTGTGATTTGTACTCGCACGATATGTACACAAGCAAGTACGAATTGCAATAGGCTTCCTTTCTTCCAAAATCCTTTCAAAGATTTGGGGCCATTCTCCCTGCGTGGCTCAAGAACTCCGAATGCAGTATTTTTAAAAAATATTAGAATCTATAATGTGACCAGCTTTTTAATCATTTTAAAAAGAGAACACAACAATAAATTACATTTAGACAGCGTCTTTCATGTCGGGAGGACGTCCCAAGGCACTGGACAGTCTGGGATTTGGAAGCTAGCTGGGGGTTTGGATCAGGGGGGGTGGAGGGCAGGGAGGGTAGGAGGGTGGCCGAATGCGAGGCCGAAGAGGAAGGTCTTGAGACGGAGGCAAGGGAGGGAGCAAGACGAAGGGACCGCCAATGGTGGGGCGGGGGACGTGGAGCAGGCTGAGCAGGGGGAGCAGACAGGTTGATATGGAGTTAGCAGGTCACAGACGTAGGAAGGAGTATGATCGTGGAGTGCCTTTAGGGTGAAATTGGGCGTTCTTTTTTTATTCCAATTTAAAACAATGTGCAGCAGGCAATTATAAATTCAGCTTCCAATTTTACTCCCGACCGTATAAATACAGTATGAAACAAAATGAAGGCCCTCAGTTTTATACATGCCTCGTTTATGCTGTGTTTTCACAGTGATTTAATGCAAAAAGCAGAGTATAAATCACATTGAGAAGATAATTTCACAGCACATTAGTTGGCACCAATGCAGTATGAAAACAGACAGTTCTTGAGGGATTTGTTTTCCAACAAAAATAAGTAAGAAAGTCACGTGACAGGCTCCTTAATAGCATTGAAAAGATAACATCAATTATCAGAGCTTTACGCATGTGGAAATCTATCCTTAGTCTATTGTGGCTAAGACCAGATATTACAAATGAGGTTTCCCCTTTCTCAATTGCTTAATTGGTAGAAGCAATATAGCTTTGGTTCAAGCAGTATAAAGTGAGCATAAGCTTGCCAAGCTAGACTAGATCATCTTAACAAACATCACTGCCAATTCAAATAAAGCATTGACAAATAGAACTTCACTGTATGCATTTCTTTAACTGCATTTTTTTTACCAATTATATTTTAAAGAAAATAGTCAATCAAATACAATAAATTTCTGTAAAGCATCCATAACAAAATGCATTTTGAAAACATATCAAAATATATCCATTTTATGGAATTTTTTAGGTAATGGTAAACACCAAAATATCAAGCCTGTCATGTTTTTCCAAGTGTGTTTTGTAAATCCAAGCCATTATTGGTTTGAGATTTGGAAGACACTTTTTGGACAAGATATCAAGTGCAATGACATGTCATTAAATGTAGCAACTGTGACAAGCATTTATACAATAGGATTTTATAATTATAAGTGCATATCAAATATTGCTACATATTATACTTGACTGCCTAGCAGAGCTCCACCCATTGAGTTCAATATAAAATTACATTTCCTATGGGATCTCTCCTCCAACTTTGCAGGAAATGGATTGAAAGCAGGAAACTGAGTGCACACTGTGAAACTCATGTCTTATCAGTCGGGATCATAATTCTTAATATAACTTACGCGAAGTCCGAGTTGCAGGCAAACTGTATAAGTCGTATCAAATCAGATTTAATCAATCAATTTACACTGCGCATGTGTAAGTCATTGCAGACGGTAAATACATGTAATAGTTCGATAAGTGCTCATTCGGTGATCGGTCAAAATGTGCCTTGAACCCACCGCCGCATCTGCACTTACCAGCAAGCACTGGAAACCAATTGAATTGTGGAAAATGAAGTTCTTCTGCATATGCGTCAATAGAACAAGACTATGTATCCTGCCATTCAATGCAGTCGGCCAGTAAGTGCATGAGTGTGGACGGGTCAAGGAGTCATTTGCCATGATTCAATGCAGCCAGTAAGTGTGGGAGTAACAGACATTACGAGTTAGGAGGTGATTAATATGAGTAGAGCAAAGAAATCTAAGTGGTTTTGATAGGAAATTGAATGGTGATTAATAATACTAATAATTCTTGTCTTTGATATAATATAAATCCTTGCATATGATATAGCACTTTTCACGTCTTCTCGATGTCTCAAAGCGCTTCATAGAACATACTGTAAAGTGAATTGACTGTATATTTGTAGATGAAAAGCGGCAGCCAATTGCACACAGCAGTGTCCCACAAACAGTCGTGGATTGACGTGACCAATTTTATTATTGTTTTTTTCTTGAGGGATTGTTATTAGGCGTGTGGAGTTAGGAAACTGGCCCATTGTTTCACCCTACCAGGAATCGAACCCAGGTCTCGCTTGTGAGGCGAGTGCTCTAACCACTGAGCTACAGGACTCCACAAAGTTGTATATGTATGAAATTGCTGAAATATGCGGTATTAACTTAGTCAGAATTATCCCAAGTTTTAGCCAACAATGTTTAAATTGTGATGTGTCACACGTCTGCATCACTAACACACATTACATAATTCTCTGAAGACAATGGATATCCTCTCAACAAATGCCTATTTAACTGTGATGTTGGCAACATTTTCTATTTGTAGGTATGCACACCTTGTAATGAGCTTCATAATTTTACATAAACGGGGACGAAGAGGAGAAATCTGATCCTAGCAAGTACAGCAGAGCCCTGTTATAAGATGGGATCCATAAACAACGCAATCCTTTACACAGAGACTTCCGGCTGGCTCGAAATGTACAGAAGGTGAAGTCAGCATCGACTAGGCTATGATTTATTTTTAGCTTGCACAGTGAATGGGCTCCATGCCCCCATTCACACTATAAACAAACCCACATGATAACAAAGCACATTACAATGCGGTTCTTCTGTACATGAGTAAAAAGAGAGACACAAAAAAAACCTGATATCCACATTATTCATGTGCCTTGGGACATCCTC